GGGACTAAAATAACAAAAACATTATACTTTAAACCTAAACTATATGGTACCTGTATATCAGTCCAAATTTTGTCTTTGTAGGAATCCAAATCTTTATTAGTCAATTTATCAAAGGTGATTGGAACGTGCATACGAGCAAGTGTACCAATGTAGCTTGTCAACTTTGCACCATTAGGATCGATTAGTTGGTTATCATCATTCTAATGTACATCATATTTTAATCCTTTATCTCTATCAAGAATGATTTTTCTCATAATAGTGATGCCTCGTGTAATTTCTCCCTCTGATGTCTTATCTGGAGCATTTGTATCTTGTGAGTTTTCATGATTACTAGCCATTGATCTGTAATAAAGAAAAAATAAAAATGAAATGAAAAATATAAAAATCCACTCTAAAAATATAAAAAAATGAAATGCTCATCCATCATAGCAGTTCATTCAAATGGTTTTATACTAATTAATCTAAACAAAACTGTTAACTTCAACTTCTTAACAAACTTCTTAACAGCAAGAACAATGTAGAAAACAAGAACAATAACAACAACAATGTAGAAAACAGCAACAACGTACAACAAGAACAATGTTACAACAACAACAATGATGTACCTGAACTATGACGGTCTATGGCGGTCAACAACTTCTTTGTTTTCGTCAAGCAACTTCTTCGTTTTTGTCAAAGCAATTCCTCTTCATAACAGAGTTATAGCACGCAGCTATAGCCAATATTTCACGCCATATAAAAAAGTTATAAAACAAAAACTGAGTATATTTTTCTTTACACCAACTAACTTAGCCAACACGATTTTGTTTGACATCTGTAAAATGAAGCACTTAAGAAACGTATAGATTCACAAAAACTAGTTCGCTCCAAAATCCTTCTAACAACCAAAACAAAATATTCTAAATTTAAAATTTGATAAACAAAAATCGCATCCACACGTGAAGGCATAACACAATAACGTTTCAAATCTAATATAAGAAGTAACATTGCAAATAATTAGGGTTGGAAATGAAAACGTTGACCGAGAAATAGCACCACCGACATTGAGTAACCTAGCTACATTACAGTGTAGAGAAGAGAGATAGCAAAGGAAAACATGGAGAGAGAAAATATCAGATCGGATGAGATGGATAGAAGATACCTTGAGAAGGTGATTCAGGAGGAGGTGAAGAAACGGTCGGAGAAGAAAGGATTAGGAACGGTCGGAGAAGAATCGGTCGGAGAAGAAACGATCGCGGAGAAGAAGACAACGATTAAAAATGAATGAATAGGGTTCTGAAAATTTTATATTTTAATTTTATAATTTGACCTAAGACAACGCTTTTTAAAAGCACTTTCTATCGTACAAGATCTAGCAGCGTTTTCACGAGAAAGCGCTTTCTTAAGTGGGGAAATTTTATATTTTAATTTTATAATTTGACATAAGCCAGCGCTTTTTAAAAGCGCTTTCTATCATACAAGATCTAGCAGCGCTTTCACGAGAAAACGCTTTCTTAAGTGGGGCGAATTTAAGGCCTTTAGCACGCTTTTTAAAAGCACTTTTTAAAGGTTGTCTGTAGCAGCGCTTTTTTTTAGCGAATTTTTTAAAAGACTTACAACAACGTTTTCTCATTAAAGCGCTTTCTAAGGTAGGGCATTTAGCAGCGCTTTTTAAAAGCGTTTTCTAAAGGCTGTCTGTAGCAGCGCTTTTTTTTAGCGAATTTTTTAAAAGACCTACAACAGTGTTTTCTCATTAAAACGCTGTCTTTTTAGTGATGACAAAAGTCAATTTTAACATAGTGATAGTTAATAATTTATTACTCTAACAAACTTTTTTAATTTTCATAATTTACTCAAAAATTCTTATATTTAAGGACGGAGGTAGTAAAATATTATATATTTAATTTCATTAAAAGAACGCAAGGAATTTTTCTTTCTTCTTTCTTCTCATTTTAGAAGAGATTAGAAAAAGTAATAAGACCCACACCATTTCATTCTCTCTTCTCTATTTCTCACTTAATCAAACAAGAGAAATATAACATCTCTCTTCAATTTCTCTCTCACCAACTTCCCTCTTTCTTATTTCATTTAAAACCAACGCACCTTCAATGGTGGTGAAAATATGTTCACATCCCTATTCCCTAAACCTTAAACATCAGGTGAGTTAAGTTCAACTCGAAGAGGTCCAAAATTCAAATACTACTTCCTATTAGGCTCTTTTTGTTCAATTTTCAACCATTAAAGAGTAGAAACAAACAAAGAGCTCGAGGTTACTATTCTTCAAATTGAATTAAATGTGTACCCTTTGATTCACAACACCATGACCCTCACCAAACGTGGAAGTCATGCATCATTACCACTGACACCTTATAATCTGTCTAGGTTATTTGTCTTTTTCACTTCACCTAACCAATTAATGCATTCTAAATACCAACAACTCTAATCTCATATAAATTCAAATTACAACACTCAAGATTCTGCCTCTCACTCATTCCTAAAAGACCCTATTGATATAGTTAAAATTCTGATTTTTAGAAGCAGAAATGGTCCACATACCCTATTTATTGTCTCTGCCTCACATTTATTCTACATGCAAAATCTCATTTTCCTCCTTTATGGTCCATGGGTTTCATCATATATGTACGATGTACTAAGGTTCTTCTAATAAATTAAATGTCATATATTTTGGTCATATATATATATATGTACCATGTACTAGGGTTCTTCTAATAAATTAAAAGTCATATATATTATTTTAAACATAATTAAATTAAGATATTATGTTCATATAGTAATATTTTAAATTAAGTACTTACACCATGTTAAAGAAAATAAAATCTTGAAAAGAAGGGAAAAAGTGTAATAAGTTGATTTTGAGCATCATTAAGGGGTAAAAAAGCAACAAAGAAACAAAAGCAAAGGCGTGCCATTTGATTTAAGTTAGTGCTTGACTTTAATTTATTATCGCTTTAATCACAATGTCGATCACATTTGACCTTAATTATATGGACCCTAATCTCTTGCAATAGTGTATTCACTTTATTTTAATTTAATCGGGTAAGTGCACAAGAGAGAAAATGGAAGAAAAATTTAATTTAATCGGGTAAGTGCACAAGAGAGAAAATGGAAGAAAAATAGAAAAATAAGAGATGATAAATTAATAGTAGAGAGATAAATTATGAAAAATAGAAATATATGAATAATCAATATTTAAATTCATTTGTTATTCCTAAATTTTCTCTTCTCACATTCTTATGTTTTTCGATCGCAATAGCGAAATTAGAGATGATAAAATAAATTGGATCTATTAGACACGCTGTGTTATTTTACCTGTTTTTTTTAAGAATGAATCAAAATTTTAAATTCACATCATCTAATATGTCAATTCTAATTCGTTCAGTTTATTTGCAGACTCTTCCATGTGCAAACATTAACAAATTTTTTGACAACTTTTAGCTTTTAGGTGTGTAAGGTCTGCATGTCTGTCATGTCCTCATTTTTCTCGGTCAATCAGGAAATCATGCATTGCTTCTTTTGCCTCATTTTCTTTGTGGAGCGAACCAAAGTTTTAATCTTAACCCTTGACCCTCTAATATGTTAGATCATCAATTTAAAGGTTAACAAAGTATTTTTTATTGAAGTCTTTCTTTATGAGTAACACATCTTTTGAGAGACACACCACATACTCATCAAAAAATTTAAGGTGATAAATGTGTGAGTTCTCTCACTTATAAAACTATTCAATCTCTTCTTTTCTAATGAATGTGTGAGGCTTTCTCATATTTGTTTCTTAATACTTCTAAATCACACTTATTTTTCTCACTACACCGACATCAAGTGTGAAACAATGCTGCCTCTCAAGCGAAAACACTTTCATCCTCATAACTCTATCGTCGTTGACACTTTTACCCACCACTATAAGAGGAGGATTTTCGATACAAGTCAGTTGGTCCTTCACTCGAACCAACGACTTTGAATACAACTGTTGAGTCATCAATTTGAGGGTCTACATGAGGAAGTATTTTTCAATGGAGATTTTCTTTATGAGCAACACACCTTGTGAGAAACACACCACATACTCACCAAAAACTTTAAGGTGATAGTTGAATGGATTTTCTCACTTATAAAAATGTTCAATCTCCAATTTTCTAATCAATATTGTATTTTTCTACACTCGTTTCTCAATACTTCAAACTCACACTTCTTTTTCTCAACATAATATGTATGTCTCACTCCGTCCCATTTATTTGCGGATTTTTCAAACGCATATATTAATAAAAAATTTAACAATTTTTAGTTTTTAAGAGTTCAAAAACTGCATGACCGTCTCATACTCATTTATAGGATGGTTTAAATAGAACAGACATATTTATTTGTTTTCATTAACCGACACACAATATAAAATAGCAAAATTCAATCATTCTAGTACACTTTTCAAATTAAATCTCACTCATTAAATCTTTTTCTCTCAAACAAATCTCACCCTTTAAAAATACATATTTAAGAGGCATTTTTCGGGCAGAATTTGAGTATCCAGAATAATTATGGATGTAACCCTAATTCTATTTCATCGGTTAATGGTTAACCTACTTTAATGTGATACACCAATTTGATAATAACAATTTCAATCACTCATCATAAGGAAAAGACACAAAAAATTGAGCCCTACTTATAGTCAATTCATTCTTTTCAATTATCTTATCTTTTCCAAAAGAGTGATGTACCAATTATTCTCACGCGTGAAAGAAGAAAAAAAATCTTCAACTAAAAAATAGGAAAACCTCACTACTTTCCATTAAAGTTCCTATCAAATTATAAAACCAAAAGTAAACTACAATTGAAAAACCAACATTCTGAGGTCTTCAACTTTAAAAAAAAAAAAAAACTGAGGTTTATAGTACTTAATATAATTAACAAAAATAGCTAAAAAAACAAAATTTACATGACTTCAGAATGAAGACTCAAAAAAAGATAAACTTGTTTTATTCTTCAAATTTTGTGGTTTATGATAAGATCATAAATCATAAACCAAAACAACCAACATGTTGGTGAAGATTTTTGGCTCTATCAATCAAACCACGAACGTTTCTGAATTCTTCAACATGACAAGGAATAGTTATAGTTCCTTTTTGATCAAATCCATATTCTTCTTCTGCCTCTTTCAATAGTTGAATGAAAAGAGGATGATTGAAGTACATAACCGGAACAACAAACCTTTGTTGATCTTCTCCTTGACCTACTTTTATTGCCATGAACCCTTTTGGAACACCTTTGAACTCTTGCTTTTGAAGTTGTTGTCTATGCAAATGAAAACTCTTTGGACTCTTTTCAACAAGACCCATGTTTCTTTAACCAAAAAGGAACACAAAGAGATAAAAAAAAATACACAAGCTTTGAGAAATGAAAATTGAAGTTATTATAGAAAAACAAGTTCTAGGTATTTTTTTGACTTGTTGATGAAAATAAAGGAAGAGTTTCCCATAGGGTTTGAAAAGCTATGAGTCATGGTTTGATATAATTAAAGAAGAGATGTAAAAGGCATAAAATAACATGAAGATGAAGAGAATATATAGGGAAGGTAGAGAAGAGACAATAGTGCAAAGAGTAGGGATTAGGTTTAGGACTCTACACCGTTTGATTTTGGTTGGTGATGATTGATCAACCTATTTTGTGGATCAATCAAATGGCTCCAACAAATTTAGAGAGAAAATAGGAAAAGTTGGTTGGAATCCCATTTATCAAATAAAAGTCATACAAAACTTTAATAATTTGTTTATTGAATATTAAAAACAGTTTAATAAGTTTAATACTTGAGTTTTTAAAATCAATTTTCAAAAGTCATATATTTTTTTATAAGTTAAAAATAAAAATTCTATATAGGTTCATAGTATTACATTAGATGTGCTTCTAGATTAATTTAGAGATTCATTGTATATGTGTTAATTTGTACTATCTTTATCTTTTCCTAAGTTTTTTTCTTAATCATCACGAATCTAGTTCTACATCTAACCAAATAAAGTATTTTAATTCGTGATGGTAAATCCTAACTCAATATGTAAAAGTTGATATATTGTTACATCATTAAAATTTAAATTAAAAATTAATTGTGTTTTTGAATTTTTAGTGGTTATCATTTTGTCTACGTAAAAATAATTATCTGGGATATTATTTTTTAAAATTCTACTTTTTTTTATCAGTTTTACTAGGCTATTTGTTAGATTTTAATTGTTACTTTATTTTTTGTTTATAATAATGATAATTTTTTCAATATTACTTTTAAATTTAAAAGGTATTAAAATATCAATGAGTTGTTTTGAGTAATATAACTTATTTCAAATTTAAATTGAATGGTTTTTTCTATCATATGTACTTCCAGTTCAATCAACATTATATTACTCTATTAATATTGAACTAGTGTCTTGAGAATAGAGAATATCATAGTTATATGTCGCATTGATATATTTCAAGATTCTCTTCATTTGAGCAAGATGAGTAGTTTTAATCAACATTAACTCCATTTTCATCTTTGGTGAGTTTCACATGTGTGACAGCAGGAGTTACTTTCTGGCTAACCACTACGTCAAACAAGACTTTAGACAGCGCTTTAAAGTGTTGTCTATTTCAGCGCTGTTGTAGGTAAACACAGTGCTTTGTTAAAAGTAAAAGCGTTGTTAAATCTCCCCTTTAGGCAGCCCTTTTACTTTGAAAGCGCTGCTAAAGGCCCCATTTAGCCAGCGCTTTTACTTTTAAAGCACTGCTAAAGGCCCCCTTTAGCCAACTCTTTTTCTGAAACAAAAAAAAATTATAAAAAAAAGTCCCTTTAGGCAGCGCTTTTAATGTTAAAGCGCTGTCTAAAACCCCCCTTTAGGCAACACTTTTTTTAAAGCGCTACTAAAGACCCCTTTAACCAGCGTTTTTTCTAAAACAAAAAAAAACTTTAGACAGCGCTTTTAATGTTAAAGCGCTGTCTAAAGACTCCTTTAGGCAGCGCTTTTTTTAAAGCGCTGCTAAATCCCCCTTTAGCCAGCGCTTTTTCTGAAACAAAAAAAATTAAAAAAAGGAGCCCCTTTAGGAAGCGCTTTTACAGAAAAAGCATTGTCTAAAGGGGACTTTAGACAGCGTATTTTAAAGCATTGTCTAATGTCAAAAAAAATTTATATAACCTTTTTGAAAAAAAAGTGTTGTTTGATATATATAATTTTATATGCATAGATTTTAACCATATTTGCACCAGATTTTCACTAATATTGGAGCTTTAATCCAATAAAAAATAATACCAAAAGATACTATACATTTGCACCAATGTACTTATATATACTAATATTACTCTTGTACATATATACTTATACAAAAAAACAACTCTAAAACAACACCATTATATACCATTACAAAATCTATTCATCTATATCTTCTACATATGCACATATAACCTGAAACAACACCAAAATGTCGTAATTCATACCATGATACAAATAAAATATATATAATTTACCACATGACAAACAACAACAAAATTGCAACACTTGAATATACTCAAAATTCTCATCAATTAAAGTAAGATTACAATATACCTTATATAATTTTCGTCTCAATAATATATTGACACCAATCCTCCTTAAGTTCATCCAACTGAGAACTTGAGTAATAAGCACATTTGAATTCATCAAAGTACTACATAATAATATAACATAGTATGTTTAAGTTAAAACTATTTAATTATATGAGAAATATGTGTTAAATATTAAAATAACTCCTAAGTTGGAAATCCATACCTTAGATGGAATCTCTATTCGATCCAACATAAACCTCAACATGTAAAAACTGTAATCTACTTCATTACGCTGCCGAGGACACTACACATGAAAAGAAAATATGGATAAGTCCTAAGTTTTATCAAGTATCATCACTATTAATATAATCAAAATTGTGATAATTAATTAATATACCTCCACTATAATCCATGTAATGTTGTTGGCTTTACTCTTTGGTACTTGAACACCTCCTTGTGCTCGAAAAACTTGTATAATGCTAATAAAACATAAACGCATATTTAGAACAATTCACATAGATAAATAAATAAATAAATATACACACGAATATTTAGAATCTCTCTAAAGTATCTTAGATGTATCCAGAAGAGGATGTCACACCTTCTCAAGCAACTTCTGTCAGAGCAAGCCAAACAGAGTCTTTACCACTTTTTGATTCTTGACAAAAAGGGGGAGAATGGAGAATATTTTGACTCATAATCAGAATATCGCCAGGGAAGTATTTTATTTTCTTGTTAGTCGAGTATTCTACTTAGGGGGAGCCTTTTAATTATTGTTCTCTATATTCCATCAAAATATATTAGTTTTTGTTATCATAAAAAAGGGGGGATTGTTAGAACATAATTTAGTTCTACATCCCAGTAAGAGTTTTGATGATTACAACCATATGATAATAAAGAACAAATATGTTCTCTAATAAAAGTATCGTTACATGCAGGAAGTTCTGATGTGAAAAAGATGTTCTGATACAACTGGAAGTTCTTCCAGAACATCACCAGAAGTTCTGATTATGCGAGCACAGAAGTTGAGAGTACCATGATAAATTCAGACGCATCAAATATGCATGACACGCTTATATGAAGAAGTTCGATTACAACTTCTGAATGCACCAGCTCTCTGAAACAGAATCTCTGATACTCTGATTGGCAATATTCTGATCAAGCTAAAAAAGACTCTCAACGGTAATATTCATCCTTTGATGTAAGAAGCTCTGAAGCGTTACAATCTATCAATGCAAGATCATAAGTAACGGCTACAAACAGACAAGGATCTCCTGATTTGAAAAGCTCATTAACTCGTGTTATGGACATACCAAAAGTATCTTCTTATGTCACTATTGCAAGGCCTATATAAAGCTAACAAGAAGAAGATTTCAAGATGATGAACAACTATGCATAAAAAGAAGAACTCACGTGAAAAATCAGTAACGCAGCAATCACTATTCATCCTCAACATTCAATATTAAATTGTGTAAAACGTCACTGTTAGTGATACTGTTTATTAGAAACATCATTGTACACCTTTACTCAATAAACTGCTTAGTGAATTTCCTTGAGAAAACTAGGTTGTGGTTTTGGACTCAAGAAGACTTTGACAGTTGTCAAAGTGGTTTTGTAATAAAGTTTGATTAGTGAATTAAGAACTCGTTGGAGAGAGGAGAAATCACCTTGGCGGGTAGACTGGAGTAGTTTGAGATCAAGCGAACCAGGATAAAAATCATCGTGTCTATTGCTTTTGATTTTTTGATTCCAATTCAACCCCCCTTCTTGTGTTTTTCATTTCTTCAAGTGTTGCATGAAATTGTTGGTGAAGTTGTTCTCTTGAGACTCCACCATCCCATATAAAGTATTGTATTATTGATCTTGAATAGTAAAGTATGCGGAAAATTGTTCACTGTGTACCCTGACACGGTTTGATAGAGTAGTAAGTCTCTCATTTACAAGCGAAGAAGTATCCTCCTATTGAACACGCATAGACTCAAGAAAGTCCAAAGTTGTAGCATTGTTTCCATCTGGAACTTCATCTTAATCCATGGAAGCAACAATCTCACCTTCCTCATTTTTCTTCATCATGTTCCTCATCACTATCATCTCCTTGCTGCAAGCGCACATTATTACTTCTTACCATATATTGATACCGTTGTTGACTCACATATGACTGGTGACCTATCATAGTCAATGTCTTCTGAGTGAACTCTTAATCAATTGATAATCCAATTAAGGGAAGGCCCGAAACACTAATAGCAGCATTGCTTAGGACATGTTAAATAAAGGAAGCATAGCCCAATGTTGTTCCTCTACCCGAATCTTTTAGATTATATATTCTACTCGCAATGTAGTAAGTCCAATTGATCCTCATTTTGTTCTTGATAGCATAAACCAAGTGCACCTCAGGAAGATCAACCCTTGATTATCCACCCCTCTTAGGGCGAATGATGCGAGATACAATCCACTATAGAATATGTTCAAGCGGTTTTAGTGCACCCGTTGTGACCGACTTTGGAAATAAGGTGTTATTCACAACACTTTAAGAGAATTGATGTTTCAGCATTGAGTTTAGAGCAACCTTAAAGTCATATCCCTCAAAGTTATCGATATCGGTGATTTTGATAGCAACCGGACTTGGAGGAAACATTTCAAACTTCGTCCAAATCTCATAATTGACAGTATAAACCTTGTTATTCATCTTATATCTAAAAGTGCTCCCATCAAAACTACCTTGAAGACCATTATAAAAAAGTTTAATCAATTTTTCATTATACGCAGTATCACATTCCAAAAAGACACTAAGTT